TTTCTGAAGTTTTCCCAGTGAGCCAGTACATATCTGCTGGATATCTGCTGGAGGGGCAACCCCCCCCCCCAACCTATACATAAATTCCTGCAACAGTTTAAAGAGTTCCAATTCATTCTGTTTGAAAAGTTTTTGCATTTTGTAATAGAAAGATGCCTTAAACCATTCAACAATCTTTTTTTAAAAGGTAAAGGCTATTTCTTATGTATTGAAATTACCTTCAGACAGTTCAAATAAGAATCTGGGGAAGGAATTAATGTGAATGAATGCAGTTTCTTTTACAATTCTGGGGAAGCTGGAAATGGCTGCCTTGTGCTATACTTTGTCACTTAAAAATATTGCTGACTGGATTTTCCAGTGCTGATGTCTCGCAGTGAATGGGTTTAATGTAAAGTGGGATGTTGATGGAACTTAACATAAAATGAAAGCTGGGGAAACAAATAGTTATATTGCACTTCCCAAACAGGAAATCATGGGCTGTACCCAATGGTTGCATGAATGGAAGGCTGTTTTGTGTAACTTTGCTTTCCAATGCTCATTACAAGTTTCCAGTTTTCAGGTCCATTCTTGCATTATTGCTTCCAGTTGATAGTGGATGAGGACTTGGGAACTTCATAATTGAGTCTTGAATAACTGCTCCAAGGTCAGTTTCAGTTCCTGCACTGGAAGTAGGCTTTAATTACTATATCTTGCATTAACTTTCCCCTCTTTTCTTTAGTGAAATAGCGCTATTCTTCTATTATAATTTTTTTAAAAAACCCTATGGAAGAAAAAGCACAACAGAATTTGTTTACTCAACAGAAATTGACATTGGAGCAATTAAGTTATTCAACAGGCAAGTATGAAGCTGTTGTTGTAAACAAAATCTGCCCTTATTCCTTTATGGGGTACACAAGAGCCCTTATAAAGTCCTTTGTAGGTTCTCCATCGGTAGGAGAAAATAACAGAGGCCAACCAGAGAATACAGTGGTACCTCTGCTTATGTACTTAATTCGTACCGGAGGCCCGTTCTTAACCTGAAACTTTAGCTAATGGGGCCTCACACTCCTGCTGCGCCACTGCCGCATGATTTGTGTTCTCATTGTGAAGCAAAGTTCTTAACCCGAGGTACTATTTCTGGGTTAGCGGAGTCGGTAACCTGAAGCGTATGTAACCTGAAGTGTATGGTACCCGAGGTACCACTCTACTGAGAAGCAAAGCAGCTAGTAAGCCTGATCTTTATTGACTGTTGCAACAGGGTGCCCCACCCCCGCACGCAGGAGAGAGGAGGAGGACCCTGAACAATGGCAAGGCCTTATATATCCATTTTGAAATTCCCTGCCATGGAGCTCCTGTTGTTCGGTCCCAGCTCCTGCCAACCTAGCAGTTCGAAAGCACGTCAAAGTGCAAGTAGATAAATAGGTACCACTCCGGCGGGAAGGTAAACGGCGTTTCCATGCACTCTGGTTCTCCAGAAGTGGCTTAGTCATGCTGGCCACGTGACCCAGAAGCTGTACGTCGGCTCCCTCGGCCAATAAAGCGAGATGAGCGCCGCAACCCCAGAGTTGGTCATGACTTGACCTAATGGTCAGGGGTCCCTTTACCTTTTGCTTGGTACATTTATGAACATTATATATATATATATATATATATATATATATATATGAATATGAATGACCTTAAAAAATTTATTACACTATTCCTCACTAATGTCCCAGCAAAAGACAACAGGAAGAAATAAAAGGTGTACAAACTGGAAACCTTCATTCAAAGGTACAAGAGCCCTGAGAAGTCTCAATAGTGCTCTGGCAGAGACTACATTAGACAGGCTGGTGCTGAAATTGCATTTAAAAATTAGGCCTGTGAAAATCAAGAAAATACTGGGATATGGTATAATGTGGCCAGATACAAAAAGAAAGAAAGACAGCAAAGGAAATGACTTCTGCACCTTTAACAGTTGTGTAGAGCAGGGAGTTTCAGCAGAGCTCCATCTTCTGACATTTCCTCTCTTCAGTGACATGACCTTGTTAAGGAAAATTCTGGGTTGAGAGACTACTCAACAGCCCAGCTCATCGGGGTCCAAGTCCCCCGCGGGTCCATGCGGTCAGTAAAAGAAGAAAATTCCACTCCAAGCAATTTGGAGCAAAACAGCAGTCAGTAGACTTAGATCCTTTATTGTTGCAGCGAGGGAACCCAGAGCATGGGGCGAAATTGACTTTTAAAACTTTCCCACCATATCCCAGAGTACAGTTCACACAACATCATCAATACATCATTGCTACATCACTAACATGTCACAAAACGGGAGGGTTACACAAGATTAGCATAGGCAGCTATGTCAGGGCAACACCCAAGTATAAGATTAGCATAGGCAAACATGTCTTAAGTACCCACCACCCAAAGTACAATAGAACTTCCTTTGCATGTCTGGAGCCGGAGGCAAGTCTGGGGATGAGATCTGGCTTCCCTTGGAGAACAATGAGCCCAGCAACTGTCACCTCTGGGCATTTCCTGGGGTAGGAGGTGTGTATACATGTCTTCAAGCTTAGGGAGGTGGAAGGGGAAAGAGTCCTTTTTCCAAGGGCAAAATGGTGTCGGAATGGAGGAACTTGGCAAAGGGCTTGATTTTATATGATTCATAAAGCTAGGTATATTCCCTGAACTGTCAAGTCGAAAGCATACATTCAGGCATAGTATTTGTAACATTTAACAACTTTAAAGATGTGCGCCCCGCCCCCGGTTAATTTCCGTCACAACCTCTTCAATGACACGACATCATCAGGATGCTCTGAAAAATGTGAATGAAATAAGAATAGTAATTGCAGTGAAAAAGACAATCTTAAACCTGAAAATATTCTCTCCTACAACTGTAGCACATACACATGGACATATGCTATCTTAAGTCAAACTTCTTCAATATTTTTCCTTGGTTGAGTCAAGCCATGCAAACAGCAGAATCACATGCAGTATCTCTTTCCGAAAACTGTACCATTTCAGGCTGCAAGCGGATTTTCAGATGTCTTAATGTCTCCTTAAGTTGAGCAAAAAGAGATGAATCTCTGTACTGTACATAAAAACGAGCATGCTAGGAAGAAGATATATGCCTGTCTCTGCCACTAGGTGTCACTGCACACTTGTCAACAAGCTGTGAGAAGCGGCTCATTGGTTTTCACATCCCCACCCGGAAAATGGAATGTTCTGCTGGTGCAAGGCATTGTGCAGGGGGACGCACATCCCTAAACATCTTGTGAATCTAAGTTTGGCCTCATTGAGAGGCAGTATTTCAATATGAGTAGGAAAATGAGAGTACCCCTAAACCTTTTTTTTTAGGAAAAAAGCAATGGTGCAAAGGTATACAGTTCAGACTGCTTGCGTAGGCTGGTCCTTTTTCTTCTTCTTTGGCGATCACTCGTAGCCGAGTAAGGTTGTCTTCCATAAACACGGTTTTAACAGTGAGTCCGTAAGTGACTGTGGAGGCCAGTTCTGGATCCACACATCCTTCCACAGTGGGGACATTGGTTTCCGGGCAGGAGTTGATCACGGTGTGGATTTGCCTAGCGTGCCTTCCTCTTAGCACGTTTCTCCCTTGCGTCCTGAGTTCGAGTGTCTTCAAAGCCCATGACACCTTTGGTAAAGGCTGTTCTCCAACTGGAGCACTCGCAGGCCAGTGTTTCCCAGTTGCCAGTGTGGTGTAGTGGTTAAGAGCAGTGGACTCGTAATCTGGTGAACCGGGTTCGCTTCCCTGCTCCTCCACGGAAAAGGAAGAGCACGCAGCTTATCTTCTACCTATAATTGGAAGAAAGTCAAACCAACACTACTGGTGAGGCCTTCGGGAGTTTCCCTTTTATCTGAGACCGACCCACGGTGGGCCCTGTGATAAGCTCTGAAGGAGAATTTTATATTAGTCTTAGTCCTGGTGGGAGTAGGTCTTCAAAGGAATGGGCTGTGTTGCTTACCGGTAGTCTCCTTGGCGAACTAAATTGCCGGACTGTGAGGGTGAAGGTGAAGACGCCGACTTTCATATGAACAGGCAGTGAAATATACCCCCACTGCAAGTGCTGGCAGGCTTGAAGGAAATATTTAGTTGACGTTAAAATACTATCCCCCCTCTACTCGATATCTGAATTATGGGATATGGGAAACGTCTTAGAGATTCGGAGGAGACAGTCCCCATTCCCTTTCCGAGATCAAAGCAAACAAGGGTGGAACCATGTCACTTTAAGGAAGGGAGTAATCTACTGGATTGTTCCTACACGGTAGAAACTCAGAACCGATTTAACCCTCTGATTGATTGCGTGTCAGCACTTAAAGACGAAGAGCGAATAATACCTCAAATAACAAGCAATGTGGGCAACAGTAAGAGTGTAGCCTCTCCTCAGAAGGAGGAACTGGTCCTTGGCACAGCCAATCATATGACATTTGAACAGTCCCATTTAATAATCAAAACTTTGCACTGTATATTCAAAAGACTAGATGATCTTTCGTCCCAGCTGCACAGCCTCCAACAAAAGCTAGTTACTACCTCTCCAGCGTCAGCCGGTGTTAAGTCTCTTGAAGAGAGGAAGGGGACGAGGAGTTTGTCCTTAAATAACAAACGTACTGACAAATTTAAATACAACCTTAACCTTCAATTAGGTCATCAATCCTTGATTTTAACACCAAGGAAAGTGTGCCTAACTATACAAAATGGGGACCCAAGATGGAGAACTCTGGGCGGTGCCAAGGAACTCCTAATGGTGCTTTTAAATATGGAGGCAACACAGATTGACCTCTGTGCAGTCCTCCCCCTTGTCTATCATCACAAATCACAGAGAGTCCTGTTTGCGTTCCAATCCACAAAAATTCCCACTATCATATTACGAAGGAAAGCTTTTTTGTTTCGCTGTGGTATAGCACCAACGAGAGCCTTTATAGACCCTACGACTAAACCCCTACTGTTGGAGGCAATAATCAAAGAGGACTTAAAATCTGCTAAACCCGATCCACCAGTGGCCACCGGAGTGGGTGTTCTCCTCCAGGAGATGAGTCAAGTGGCCTCCACTCCCCTAGCAAAGAACAACGACCATCCGGAAAGTGGCCTGACACCACCAGAAGAGATCGAACTCATTGCCTCCTTTGCAGATTTACCAGCGGTGGAACAAAAAGAAATTATTAATAGACTCGAATCGCTTAAAACCCAACTTATCAGGAAGCTCAGCACCAGAATACCTATGTACAGCGAGCATGACATCCTAGAAGAACCAGTTCATATGGATATCGCAATATCTAATGCTAAATGTATGTCGGTAATGGAGGATAAGATACAACCCCAAGAAGCAACTACCAGTCCTTCCCTCCAACCAGAACAACCCTCCGTGCTCTTAATAGATTTACATGACCGTCCCTTGATAAACATACCTGAAGAAAGCAGCACACAACAGGAAAAATCCCCTTCTACACATTCATCGATGCCAGACCTGGAACCTTCTTATAGCACTGACCAATCAAGAGAAGAGGTGCCTTTGCCAACCTTCCCAAATAGCCCACTCGCCCAGCCTTATTCCTCTTTGCGGAGTATTATGGATACAACAGTAAGACCAGTGACGGAACTGATTGAAGATCCAACAGGCCACATAAATCAAGTAGCCCAAAAGACCAGTAGCAGACTACAGAGAGACCAAACTTCTGACGAGATAGATGGACCACACCGGGTGGCCCACCAAACTCTTTTGGAAAAGGGGGCCGCCCCTGCTCAAGGTCCTACTCTTAGTAGATCGAGTGGCCAAGTTCAACAGTCAGACAACCTTGTTAATCCTCCCACTCAGCTTTTACGAGAGGTTTCTCATCAGAGGAAGATAACTGATTTTTTTATTGGCTCCCCTCTTCCCGTATTAAAGTTGAGCCAACCTTCCGAATGACAGTCAATTGGAGGAACGAGGAAACCCCAGCCTTCAATATTAAGTTGGAACATTGCTGGATGGAAAAGTAAAAAATCAGATCCAGAATTCCAAAAATATATTAATTCCTTTTTTATCATACTATTACAAGAAACTTGGGTGGAGGAGGAAATTGAGTTAAATGGCTTTGAGTTTATATGTCTGCCTGCTAGCCCGTCAATGAATGGTGGCCGCCCTAAAGGTGGCCTTACAATTGGTATCTCTCTTAAACTTCGGGCTAAACTTTCACTAGTGCATGCATTTCCGCCTTATGCTATTACCGGACTGATCTCTGGTGGAAACTTCTCTTTATTGGTTACAAATGTCTATTTCCCCCCGGGAGGGTTAGCAGCTGATCTTATTTCTAGATGGGAATCCCTAGAGGATTTTTTACTTTCTTGTTATCTTAAATATCCTAATGTCCCCTCCATTACCGGAGGCGATTTTAACGCTCGGATAGCCTCAAATCGGGAAGCTCTTATAAAGTCTAAATGGTGGGTCGACCCCGGCGCTCAAACCTACGATCTAGTATATATCCCCACTAGAATATCAAAGGATGTAAAAGTCAATAAGGCGGGAGTGATGCTTTACCAGATGGCTTTACGCCTTAATTTAATTATATTAAATGGCAGGTGTCCTCCAGATATACCAGGAGAGTTCACCCATCTGGGGTTAAAATCAAACAGTGTTCTTGACTATGTATTGGTTTCTCGGGATCTATTTTTGAATGTCACCTCTTTTAAAATTGATAATGCCCAATTTAGTGACCATCTTCCCCTGACAACCAAGTTATGTGTTGACTGGCACCTGCTCGAGCGCTCCCACCCAATCCCGGTGATTGTGGAGCCGTCCACTAAAATAAAGGGGATTAGATGGTCCCCTGCCCTCGCCCATAGATATATGGATTTTATCCGAGAAAAGTTTCTTGGTGATCAGCCGGACGTAGGAATAGTCCCGCGTGATCCTATTACCTGTATGAATTTTTTCTCTTGCCTGATAGAAGTTTTAACTCGCTTTTTTACTTCTCCAAGCTATGGAGTTAAAAACGATTATTTTAAATTTGGCGCCCCTTGGTTCAACTCTGCTTGTAAACTAGCCAGACTCCATCTACATACAATATATAATGACTATAAACTTTCCGGCGCTCTGGCCTTACCTCCATCTTATTCCCTGGCTAAAAAGCATACAAACAGGCCCAGAAATCGGCCAAACGGGAATGGCATTTAAATCGCTGGCAGACTATAATTTCTACCTCAAAATCTCATAACTCCCGGAAATTTTGGTCCTTAATAAAGGGAAGAAACACGAAATACCCCTTAACGGTGATCCCGGCCCCTACATGGGAGCAGTTCCTGAGAAAATATTTCTCAGTGGCAGAAGCTCCGGCCACTCACTGGAGACCTTCTAATCCCCTTCCCGTCTGGCACAATACCGACCCTGCTGAAATCCTAGAATTGATAGCTGAGCTGAAAACTGGTAAGGCCCCTGGGCCAGATTTGGTCCCTGTTGAGGCTATAAAGCTACATTCTGCATGGTGGGCAGGGATTTTAGCTAAAACGTTTGACGCAATAAATGCCACGGGCTTAATACCAGGTACGTGGAAGGAGGCCATTATAATTCCTATCTACAAAAAAGGCCCTCCCGGTGACCCAGGGAATTACCGGAATATCAGTCTGCTATCGTCCATTGGGAAAATATATGCCCGTTTTTTGCTGGCAAGGCTGATGAAGTGGTCAGCTGAGGCTGACCTGATTGGGCATGAGCAAGCTGGATTTAGATTAAACCGATCCACAACAGATCAGGCAATTATTCTTTATCACTTAGCCCGGAAATACTCGACACCTCGACGGGGCCAACTTTGCGCAGCCTTCATAGATTTGAAAGCTGCGTTTGATAGTATTCCGAGGCAATTACTATGGGATAAACTTGCCTGCTGGGGAATAGATAGAAGGCTCCTGTGGCTTATCTCCCAACTTCATGCCGGGTCCGTGGCCAGGGTAAGAATATCCCCTGCTGGAGACCTAACTAACCCAGTGCCAGTAAATAAGGGTGTACGCCAGGGTTGTATTTTAGCGCCTCTTCTTTTAACTTATTTATCAGTGATATGAGGAACCCATTAATCGACTCACAAAAATCTATCCACACCCCCCGTATAGCAGATTATCGTTGTCCTTTACTTCTCTACGCAGATGATGCGGTACTACTCTCTTACTCCAGAGTGGGTTTAAGGAGGGCACTAAAGATTTTTGCATCATATTGCCATTCTAATCATCTGTCTATCAACCACACCAAGTCCAAAGTACTGATATTTTCAAGGAGTCGAAAATTATATTCATGGAAATTGGAGGGCACGAAAATTGAACAAGTACATAAATTTAAATATTTAGGAATTTATTTTCAATATAATCTAGGGTGGAAAGAGCACGTTGAATATCTTCAAAACAAGACAAAAGCCCTATCACACTCCCTCCTCCGTTTTTCTACTCTGAGGGGGCCTTATTCATTCCTGCGGCCTTGAAAGTGTATAGCATCAAAGTGATGGCCACAATGGCCTATGCTGCACCTTTATGGGCTGCCTTTGCAAACCTCTCACCTTTAGAGTCGCTTCAAAGCCAATTCTTACGCCGACTTTTAAAACTACCAACATGCGTAAGTAATGCGGCTATTCGCTTAGAAATGAAGATCCCCTCAGTGGAGTTAGTTTTATGGAGGAGAGTTTTGATTTATTGGATATCCCTATGGCATAAACTACCGAACCACTATCTCATTCAATGCATGTGGTGGGATGACTTCACAAATTTGTGGTCAGGAAAAATCCATGCCAAATTGCTGTCCTATGAGATCTCGCCCACGGAATTGCTCAAACTGGATCTAAACGCGGCAAAAAGGTGTATAAATCAAAGGCTGGATGATGTGGAGCTATACCAAAATTTCTTAGCTGGTGGTGGAACCTGCTCCCCGTTAAATCTCGGCATAACCCCTATCTATCGTGCTCCGTCCTACTTAACATCGCTTATAGCCGCATCTCACCGATATGCCTTCATTAGAGCCAGGTTCAATGTTTTTCCAACAAACGTGCTGAGACATAGATTCACTAAGGGCCAAGTCCCTTCAATGTGTGCTTGTGAAATGAAAACATCTGAATCTTTACATCATGTTATGTTTATCTGCCCTATGTACAGTTTAGCTCGCGCTAGTATACTAAACTCCATAATCCAGCCTATGGCTGACAAACCAGTAGACCTACAGCTTGCCTGGGTTCTTCAAGATGTAGATCCTTATATTACTCTACAGGTTGCTAAATTCCTAACAGCCGTTCTCTCGTACAAGAGACGGAATGGAATGTTAGCTGATTATTGATAGTTATAAGAATTTTTGATATTGACATCAGATATTGATTTTAGCGTAGTGCCTAAATTTTTAACTTTAATCTTAAATTTCTGTTTTGATTTGCCAATATTTGTCCTTGTGAGCTGTGAATTGTGTTATATTACTTGTGGCTTGTTCGAGACCGCTGTTTTATTTGATTTGTTTTGTGTGTTGTGCTTTATGATGGGCGTAAAGCCGAATAAACATTTTGATTTGGTTGGCTCCTCCACATGCAGCTGCTGGGTGACCTTGGGCCAGTCACACTTCTCTGAAGTCTCTCAGCCTCACTTACCTCACAGCGTGTTTGTCGTGGGGGAGGAAGGGAAAGGAGAATGTTAGCCGCCTTGAGACTCCTTTGGGTAGTGATAAAGCGGGATATCAAATCGAAACTCTTCTTATACTACATTTTTAAAGATTTTCCTTGAGACAGTCTTTAAACCTCTTTTGTTGACCACCAGCATTACGCTTTCCATTTTCAAGTTCAGAATAGAGTAGTTGCTTTGGAAGAAGATCATCAGGCATCCGCACAACATGACCAGTCTAACGAAGTTGATGTTGAAGAATCATTGCTTCAACACTGGTGATCTTTGCTTCTTCCATTACACTGATATTAGTTTGCCTGTCTTCTGCACCTGAGACAAGCAGGTACAGCTGTAAGATAGTGAAGGAGGAGCTGGCAAAGCAAAGACAGGGAGAAGCAGAAGCAAAGGGAGACTATAATGCCAGCAAATGTCGCTGAATCCAAAACGTCCCTTCACAGGGGCTAGGACTGCTTCCTCCCATCTTTGGCTTCTCCCAAATTGACAGCTGCTGGGACAAACGGATGACAGACAAGAGAAGGAGAAAATTGGTGAGTGTATGCAAAAAAGTCCAGCCTTTAACAACTCATTTGGGAAATAATTCAGTTTTACACCTTTCAAATGTTTTTAGATGTTCTTAACTTTTACAAATATTTTATTAGTTTTTAAACATTTAAAATACATTCCTATTTTATTTTTTATTGTATTGTTTTTAAAGATTTTGGTGTCTGCCATCCTGGGCTCCATTGGAGGGAAGAGGGGGGAATAGAATTTTAATAACAAACAAATAAATGAAATCAAGCCTGATTTTCAACAAAGTCCAAAGCAGCAAAGGGTCTGAAAGAGAATGAGGCCATTTGGAGCAGGGGATCCTGGGGCTCCCAAGAGAGCTTTCTCTCTCTTTTCATCTTGCACAAGGGACAATGAGCACCGCCTGCTGCTCCTACAAAGTGTGCAGCAACGTGACACGAATGAAAATGGAGCACATGGCTGGAGCCATTTCCCACTCCCCATAAGGCTGAGCCAAGGAATGACCATGGAATAATAAGCTCAAGGGAGCCGGCGAAAAGTTACATGGAGAAAACAAAAAGGCCATAAGAAAAAAGAAACCTTCGGAAATCCACAGTTGGACAATACCTTTATTAGGACCAACTAAAATGCGGCAAAATAGTGCACAAGCCTTTTGAGTTATCCAGAGCTTTTCATTGGGCTAGATGTTACCCTGCATTTTTAATATCTACCCTGGGGAACTGAAAGCTTTCTGGTTATTTTGCAGCATTCAGGTTGATCCTAATACATTGGTATCTCTAGTTA